TGCGGGGATGTGTATCGACGTGACAAGGAAAGCATATTGACACGGGCTTTAGTTTTGTGGAAAGGAGAGAAAGGCAGGAATATAGACTCTGATCCTTTTGTGCGAAAGTTGGGGCCACCTGGGGCCCTGCTACCCTACCTGAGTGGGATATCTGCAGGGAACCTCTATGAAGGTTGAAAGTTTGAAATGAGTGTTTCCAATTTACATAGGTATAGATACATGTAACACTGTTTTCAAAGTGGATAAAAATATCCGCTAGCACAAGAACAGAACCTGTCCAAAAAACGATGGAAATTAATTTAACATGATTGATTTATTTGGTTTTATAATGACAAGAATATGTGCCGTAGGCAGAAGGATTATTGCAAAAATAATTCATTTAGCATTTATAAAGGGCTTTTTGCTCTTCACTTCTTTTATATATTTTATTACTTGGCCAATGCAGCATAAAAAATACCTTATCATGAATGTAAACTTCTTGACAAAACATTACTTTAGCTAATGCAAAGGAGGTGACAAAGCTGCCAATGATGCAGCCTTCCAGACAGGGGAGTCTAAATCAGTTGCCTTCTACAGCTTTGGTCCATCAGATGAAGCCTTATAGGAGTGCAGGGACTAAATTGCCAGTCAGTGTCCACAAGTGACAAATGTGTTTCATATTGTTTACCTGTGAAAGGGTGCTACCTCCTACAACAATGACAGGGCAAGCAGTCTTCATAAACAACAGTATGCTTTCTTTTTGCCTGTTTGCTCATTTGGAAAAAGCATCTGGAATAGTAATGCTCCGAGTGCCATGCGGGGAAGCAGAGCAGAGCTGCTGCTGCATAGTTTAAGAGTTAAGTCCTGAGGAGATGAAAATAGAAAGCCTGATTGCTGGTTGTCTCATCAGCCCTTGTGAAAAGCAGCTGACAGTGTTCGTGTTTGGAAGAGGAGAGGAAATTGGAAATCCATTACATTTCTCCTGGTATTTCAGTCACAGGAGTATTATGTGTCTGCGGTTCAGAAAATACAGAGAGGCTAAGATGCTGAAGCCACAATTCAGAAATGTCCATTGTCACACATTAGCAGAATAGTAAACTGGTTAGGAAAAAAATAGCTTTGTTTCTTCAAACTGAGGCTGTGACAGTGGGAAATCGGACTTCTGAAGCTAGGTGGGGTAGCTCTGGGCTTTTTCCCTTTCTGCTTGATTTTTGTTTGTGACTGGATGCTGAAATGCAGATTTGGCAGCATGAATGTCAGCCGCCAGACTGGGGCTTGGACCGAGAGTGGCTTGCAGAATATCAGTGACCATTCTGATTGTGATAAACACCACAAAACTGTAGCAAAAGCAGTTGGTTCTTTCTATCCTAAAAGCGAACAGAGCGGTTGCTGGTTTGACACCCACACAGTTGTCCCTCCCTCCCTGTTTCTGTCTTCAGGCTTTAAATCCCCTCGCAGTGCTTCAGAACAATGATTGCACAAGATACCGGGCACATTTCGAAGCCAGAAAGTCACACAAAACCTACACTGGACACTCATCAGGGCAGGCAGTTGGGCAATGGATACGGGCCCCCCTCCTGAAATCTGCAGTAAAGGCACACAGAAAGACGGTTTTGCAAAAAGCGCTACTTGCTACTCAGCAGGATAAAAGAAGGAAAGTAGGTGGAAAGTACTCGATTCTGACAACAAAAGAATAGTATGAGCTGCCTTTTTTAATGAGATGTCTTTATTCTGTTGAATCAGCTATTGGTCTTGTGATCCTGTCACTGACATGCATGCTGTCATCTGGACTTCAGTTATCGTGCTGGTGCCCAGCATTAGAAATGTCAATTTTCCTAACATTGTCTTCTGGAACACTCTCTATTTATTCATACAGTTCTAGGGAAGCGCAGTTCCCAGACAATCCTTTTTTGGTTTTCTTTCTTTCTTTTTTTTTTTTTTTGTTTAATATATACACAGTAAAAAGGAATATAGGCAGAGATTATAACAAGATCTTAGGTTTCTGATAATCCTCCCACAGCTGCTGGTAGGGCTGCCTGGCCCCCTTAGGGCACCTTTCAGCACAGCCAGCCTGCAGCCGCCAGGATGCTAGGGGTCCCCTAGGAGAGCAGAGGACTCCTTTTTACTTCCTTGACTTTGCTGAAACTAGAGCAAGCTCTCATATGAACTTCAACATGTATGAACTATTTTTCTCTGATTCTGGTGACTTTTCTTCACATTTCACTGCGCACAAAACTTATCAGGCAGATTTAACAACTCGAGGAAGTTGAAGAGAGAACAAAAAATATTTGAGGCCAGAAAGGGACAAAAAAACATTAGGTGACAATCTGTGTTCCGATTTAGGGGAACTTTTCCATCAGCTGCCCTCAGAGAACTTGAAATACACTTTCTCTTGCCTTTGCAGAATTGCTCCACTTTGCCTTCAGAGTGAATGTGGCAATTTTCCAAGCCAAGCTTACAGGGGAGAGGAAATAAATCACTCTAATGTTTGGCTGGTAGGAATCCAAGCAGTAGAGAAACTATCATCTCCTTTCTAGAAAGTCTTGTAAAAAATGGCCGGATTTACTTAATCTTTTCGACTCACTAATGTTTCTGCTTGAGTCTACAGTTTGCAAGCCATAAACATTGTGACAAATAATGAAGTAATCATGCAATTAGGACTCAATTACTTATGCTGTAAGAGTGACCTCTTGCTTGTTTTTCCCCCACATAAGAATAAATAAATATTGCGTCTCTGGTGCTAGTTTATGGCTTGAATTATGTGAAATCCAGAAAGTCTATTCTCCTGGTTTTACCTTTGTAGGGTTATCTATTCTGTGGTCTGTCCTGAGGCAGTCAGGGTGCATGGTACGTTTTACTAGTTGCCCTCAGCACATGGACAAGTGAGGAGTGGTAGGATACAGAGAGGATGAGCTGTGGCCTATTTCCCTCTCCAAAACTCAAGGCAGTCTAATGGGGCAGGGAGCAGGGATGGACAAATCGTGGCTCTTGAACTCGGTGCACTCCTATGGCAATTCAAGAGCAGCTGTCAGGCCAACGCTGTGCCCCTTGGTTATCATTTGGACTATGTTGGTACCAGAGCAGAACCTGAGTGACCCACATTGCTGGCTGTGGGAAGAAGTGATGCAGCAGATGATGACAGGTTCAGCCTGGCAGAGAGAGTCACTTTGGGATACCACATCATGCCCAACCCTGTTGCACAGCAGGAGTCTTCAGCCATCGCTGTCTCCCTGCGCCTCCCTCTGCTCTCCACTCTCATACTGCATGTGAGGTGCAATGTGCTTACACGTGTATCATCTCACGCTGCTTGGCTCTATGAAGATATTGCTCAGTGGTTTGGAAAGCTCAGAAATTTTGGGCAGTTCTAGTGCAAGGCTTTGGCAAAGGGGGAAACAAACAAGAAATCCTGGCTCAAAGGTGCCATTTAATGCCATCTTAAGGTACAGCTTTGTGGGTCCTCGGGCCCAGGTTAAAAGGAATCTGTTGATCACTCAAGTCAGTGGGCTGCCAGATGTCCCATCTCTTAAATAGCTTCCTGTAACAGAGGCTTGGGTCGCGTGTCTCATATAGAAAGCATTGAGTACATGGGCTTTCCTGTATTTCCCTGGAGACCTGCCATTTTTATCCAGGTGCCTACAGCACAGATGCAGCAGGTAACATGAATGTCAGCTAAACCATGCAGCCGTTCAGTCTGGTGGCTGGGGACCAAAGATTCACCCGTGCCCAAAGCATAGCTACTTTAGACTTGTTTGGCTAGGACTGTGACAGAGCTTGCTACTTCCAATCTTGTCTATTTTCCATTGTGGAGTCCCAGGCACATCTATGCTGAGTGTCACATAAATGCCCTCAGCTGGTATGGTCTGCAACCTGATGCTCTTCTCAAGGCTGTGTGTAAGAGGCTCCTAGCCAGGACCTTCCATCAATCTGCCTGGAGTTCAGGATGCAAGCCGCTTTGGGGTGAAACAGAGACTTCTCTCTGAGCGGTCCGTTGCATTTTTCCTCTTGAGCTCTTTGCTGCTGGAAGTGCTTCATCTACCCGCTTTTCACAGCAGCAGTGCTGCTGATTTGATTCCAAGTGGATAGAGCTAGATCTGAGGTGCCAGAATAATCTGTTTTTCTCATGACATGCCCAGCATATTAAAATTAAGCAATGGCTGACTTATATTTGCACTTAAATTAGACCGTAGTAGTGCTGTTCTTAGGGGACCCTAATAAGAACTGCAGAATGACACTAAATCAATGGACTTCTTGTTAAAAGAACTAAACTAAAACTCAGATGCTAAGCCCCATGGACTTTGTTCAAACCTGCCAAAATAGACTTTCCATGAAATAATGTTGTCAAGAAAGGGCTTTATCTTCAGGTTTTTAAAAGTATCTCTTAATGAATAAGCAGAGAAGTAAAATAGAAAGTCACTGTTTGTTAAAAAAAAAAAGGAGAAAAAAAAAAGCGTGTTATCACAAATCCCACGCAGTGTGAGAATAGCATGTGGCTTTCTTTTTAGTTTGGTCAACTTTATCAAGTCTTCTTATTCCATTCTCTTCCAGCATAATGCACTTCTCACTTTATGTTTGATTTGAATTACTCTTCTAGCTGTAAGATCCATGCATGCTGAGATCTATTCTGCAAAACACCCAGGATCCTGGCTCAGTTTCCTTTCCATCGATATTAATTCTTTCAGTTTTCACCCCTTACAGGATAGCCTAAATAAGGCAGAATCACTTCAATCATAAAGACATCATGCCAGAAGCTAGACCCAAAAACCCTTTCCAGAGGGACAAGGATAAATCCTCATCATTCCAGATGAGTTAATGAGGACTCTGCATGAAATCAGTCAGACTGCTCATTACAAGTCTCCATCACTGTGCTTTTTTTTTTCCTCTCTGCCTGAAATTTAGATGTACCTTTAGATTCCCCTTTAATCACTTGCTTCCAAGGGTGCTGGCCTGCCTTTGGCTGGTTGCTTTTTCAAAACAAGCTTCCTGTCTTTGTGTAATAAGTGGGTTTTTTTGCCTCTTTTCAGTGATGGTTGGGCAGACAGAGATGAAGTCATTGAAGGTTATGAACCTGAAGCAAATGGAGGCATCACTATCAAACTGCAGTCTCCAGAAGTCTTGTCGTTTGATGACTACTATCTGAAGCTGCGACTGGACACCAACACCCGCAACCCCTGGTTTCCGGAGTTCTGGCAGCACAGATTTCAGTGCCGCATCCCAGGGCACCCGCTAGAGAATCCCAACTTCCAGAAGAACTGCACTGGTAACCTGTTAACTATTTTCCTGTGCTCTAGCAAAAAATTTGTCTTTAGGGTTTTTTTTTGTGTGTGTTTGTTGTTTTTTTGTTTCTGGTTTTTTTTTTTTTTTTTTTTTAATGTATAAGTCACCAGTGAAAAGTGCCAAGCCCAAATTGTACAGCTATAAATCCCAGCTCTGGCAGGAGTGTGTCTGGCACTGGTTGCACAGCCTCCTCTCAATTTAGTTCTGCTCTGTTAGAGTGACTTGTTCCCTTTTCATATTTTAGGGTTGTGCTGAGGCTGACAATAGTGTCCAAGTTTGTAATATTGCTCGTAAAAAATAAGTAACCATTAAATTTTAACAAAAACAGGAACAAATTTAAACTTCTTTTCTTGAAGCCAGCTATTCTGATCAGCTGAATAATCAGGAAATTTACAGAAAAAAAATTTTAAGGAAAATTGATGAGTGTTAAAATTGGCCAGTCATCTTCTTCATCCTTTCTTTTCTTCACCCGTTAAAACATTTGTAGTTTGTTTCCACTATGTAGCACTCACATAAAGAACATGCTGTCCTACAGATAGAAGTAACTGTCACCTCATAGCAAGAGAAGTGTATCTGGGCATAGACAGGTTTTCTCTTTCATCACAGAATCTGAGAAAATAAACTGAAATGTTTCAGTAAGATTAAATTTATTATTAAATTGAGTAAAATACTTGGTGAATAATTTTTGCAAATATTTTATTTGTAGTTTGTAAATATTTCACTTCTAGTCAAAAAGGTGTATTCTGATAGTGAGGAAGCTACTTCATTAGAAACAAAGCTAACGAAGCCTGGCTTCCTGTGGATTTGTGTCCTATTCTTTACATCTCCACCCTCTTTATCCTGTAGTAGTAATCTCAGCTGGTCTTCATGTGCTCCCAGAGCTGAATTCTCATAGTGTTTCTAGTTCTTCCCTTCTCCATCAGTAACACTTCCTAACAACACCTTCCACGTTACTTTTTGTTTCCCCCTGGTTCTCTTATTACCAGCTAAGACATATCATCAAATACTGGCAACTGACTCAAAACTGGCCTGATGTGCTGACAGGCAGACAGGCTGGCCCATCTGGGTGCTGAGGGGCTAATGGCAAGCCAGACAGGCTAAAAATGTTGAGGTTATACTGGTATTTTTTCCTCAAAGGAGTAATTAACTTTGGACTCTACCAAGATGTTGCTTTATGGTATATATATTTAAGTGGTTTTGAGACTGCTTCAGCTCAGACAAAGAAGTTAGTTAATATAGGCCAACAAGGGCAGAAATTACTAAGGGGTGGTTGAATGATGGATGCACAGTGCAAATGCATGGCCTTCTTTCTTAAGACAAGAAGCTTAAAATTGCATTGTCTTGGTTACTCCATTCACATAAATAAATTTCATTATGATACTCTTTAAAAGGTCTAGTTTCTGAGGAAATCTCAGCAGCTATTGTAAACACAAGTAGTTTGTTATCCAGCCTCTTTCTGGTTATGAAACTAAAACCTTTAGTCTGAACCAGCATAGTCATTCTTCATCTGCTGCATCAAAGGCAAATACCAGGTGGCGAGTTCAAAACAGCCAAGATGGGGCATTTCTGCACAGAATGTGTAGATGCATTTTCAGACAGTGGTTGCTGTAGACTCTGAAATTGTACTTGAGCCAAAAAGCAGTTAAACAAATTCATGGAAGAAAACGAATAAGGGCTGTTTTATGGAAACAAAAAAAACCCCACCCAACACCTCAAACTGGCTCAGGCCATCTCAGGGTTGAAGCCACTGGACACTGGAGAGGGTACTGCAGAGCTACTGCTACACACCTGCCCTGGTGTTCTGTGCTTCTCAGGGTGTCAAGTATCAGAGACAGGAACCACTACGTTCTGATACTGCTAGTGAAACACAAAAATGTTTGTCTCTGTTGGTAGGCTCAGACAGTTAATAGTCACAATTCAGGCACTCAAACGTCTTTCCCTCCTCTAAAAAGCTGTCAGTTTTTGTATGAAGCCTCAAAATGTGTGATACTTTTTAGGCTTTGCTGAAAAGCAATCAGCTCTTAAATTTGGTGGTGAACCACTGGGTTATCACAGGCTTATCACACACAACTAAGAAGTTCCAAAATGTCTCAAATCACCAAAGGGAAGAACCACAAGGTATCTATTCCCAGTAATGGCATACCTACAGAATCAAGAGACCTACATGTCTTCAGTGAGTCTGGGGACAATAAAATATTTTATTTATTTTTCTTTAACTGCGCAGAGCTGACTGCTGACTGTCTGGCACCACCAGAGCTTTCTGCACACATATATTTATTTGACCTTTCTGCAGGGTTAAGAATGTCACTTCAAATGCTAACAGCTTCAAAGCTTGCTGGTGGAGCCTTTCTTGCCAAGGAAGTCTGGTAATGACAGTACCAAGAAACTGCCTTCTTTACCTCTCACAGGTTTGGAGGCAGGTCTTTTCACAAACTCTTTGTAAAAAAGGAGTCTGAATTGCCTCTTCTCTCCTTCACAAAGTATCTCCATGCACAAATTTGAAGGAGAGAATCCATGCTGCTCAATAAATAATAAGCACTAATATTTGAAATCCATTAGAAGTGCTAATAGACAAAGTTCTGAATTCTTTGTGGTACTACAGATGTAAGTACTGCTGCTACTACTGCATCACCCCAGGAAAATTATCACTGGTCAATACTGGTATCAAGTGTTTTAACTCCATTATATCTAAGAGCTTTCACTCTTACATCACAGTACTCCATCAATATTCCTGTAACAAGGTACATAGGGTCCTGCATTATGGAAAAAGCTGAGTCCCCTGTGGTCCCAGGAGTCCACACATATTATTAGCATGTGTTGTGACCAGCTCCGGGTCCTGATCTGTTCTGTATTGCAGAAGTGCACTGGTAGTCCTTCCTGAGAACAAAGCACACCCATACTTTTTCATAGACAGAAATGATTCAAAGGCAGTAGAGTACTTAAGTTCATCTTCCATGTCTGGACAGTTAACAGGATAGAAGACTATCTAATTAAAAAGAAACCAAGGACAAAAATATGATATTTAGGGGAGCATAGTGTATTCGTATTTACCCAGCACTGGCTTGCCTAGGAGCAGCCAGAAACAAAAAAAAGAAAAGGCAGTGTTGTTCTCTGACCACCTTATTAAAAAAAGATACAGAATATTTGGACCTATCCATTTTGAAAAGGAGATGAATTGCAAAGTTTGTATTTGAGAATCTTCAATTACTGCCTGCCCAGTATAATTTGCTCATATACAACCTAATCACTTTACTGAGCGATTTATTCAGAATTGCCACTGGAATGTGAAGTTCAATTTTTAGCATTCATGGATAGGCAAGGGCTTCTCCTCAAGCAATTACAGCTGCTGCATTTGCAATTTCTCACACCCTGTTACTGTTGAGTCAGCCCTAGCTTGGGATTGCAGGCTCTTTACGAAGCAAGGGAAAGCCAGTTCCTAGAAATCCCTCTTCTCTGATGACAGGAATTACTGCTTGAAGTCCCTCATTCAGTCCCTGAGAAGGCCGACGTCCTTCAGGAATTCTCATGTTACACTGAATTCTGAATGTACATGCGTATTTTGGGGAAAAAAGTCTATCTGGTCTAAGCACTAGTGGAACGAAGCAAGTCCAAGTGCGTTCTACTTTGTGAAGTGTGTGGGGTGCCTAAAAATTAGCCACATTTTCAGAACAGCTTATCTGGATGTGCTAAGGCTATATGGTGGCAGCAGAAATTCTTGGGAAGAGAAGACAATCATCGAGAGTTTTGCAGTGACTGCTCTTTTGGATCATCCCTTCTTGCAAAAATGAAACAACTTACTTCTCCCACTTGGGCGGCAGCCAAATGAGTGGGAGCTATTTTTGACTCATTCTTTGCTAATGTTGTAGCCAAATGCCTCTCATAAGGGAATGCCTCTCTCCCTCTCCTCTTCTCTCTCTCCCTCTTTCTCGCTCTGTCTTCCTCAACACAATAGGATTCAAGTCTAGAAATTTTCTTGTATGTAGATGTATTGGGTCTGGCTGAGATGGAATTAATTTTTCCATAGCAGCCCTCATAGTGCTGTGTTTTGTATTGGTAGATAGAAAGGTGTTGATAACGCACCAGTGTTTTGGCCACTGCTGAGCAGTGCTGGCACAGCGCTGAGGCTGCCTCTCCACTCCCACCCCTCCCAGTAGGCTGCAAGTGGGCAAGAGGTTGGGAAGGGACATAGCCAGGACAGCTGACCCAAACTGACCAGTTTCCCTACTATATGATGTTGGGCTCAGCAATAAAAGCTAAGAGGAGAGGAGGGGGGAGGGCATTTGTTATTAAGGCATTTGTCTTCCAAAGCAACCACTACATACCGAGGTCCTACGTCCCAGGAAGTGTCTGGATATCGCCTGCTGATGGAAGTAGACAATAAATCTTTTCGTTCTCCTTTGCTTCCAGGCATGGCCTTTGCTTTTCTTTAATTTCCTTAATCTTGACCCATGAGATTTTAGTTTTATTTTCTCTACCCTATCCTGCTGAGAACGGGGAGCGAGAGAGTGACTTGGTGGGCACCTGCCAGCCAGCCCAGGTCCA